CTATGCAAAACCATCTGAGGTGACTCATTCGCAACTTTCATATCCTTCCTTCTCTCCCCTCTCTGGGGAGTCATGTCAACTGCACTTTCGACCTTTTCTGATTTCATGGGCAAGATTAGTAACCCCCTATATGATTCATAGACTTCAGTAGATTGTGTTGGATTGTGGTTTAAGAAGTTAAATGACAATTAAGAAAGAGCCAATGAAATAGAAGCAGGAAATATAAAAGGATCCTGGGAAAAGGAAGCAGGTTTACGCTGGGTGTTTGGTATTGTTGGAGTGGAGATTAAATGAATTACTTAATACACCAGTGTAGTGGATAGCCATCATAGAGCAGGAAAACTATTCATGTTTTTAATCACCTGATATGGGAGTGCAAGATACAGCAGCCAAGTGCAATGCCCAATTTTAGCCCATTACTTCTCATGCTAGGTGTGGTTCCATTGGTTCCATTGTACCCAAGTATTGACTGTTGATGGACAGCGAGTGTTGGTGAAATTTGCGTCATCTTCTCATTCCCACATTTACACTTCTAAAAGTGGGCCTGAAATAGTGATCAGGAACAAGAAACCTTGCCTGATTTTTCTTTTCCTTGTTTGTGACATTGCTGCCAATTTTGGACCAATATTAAAACTGGAATCTGTGGGCTTGGGACAACACCATGTAATAAATTTATCTGCTGAGCTATTGGGTTTTTAGTTATTGTTACAACTCGTGCATAACAATTCCAGCAGGTTGTCTGTTGCCTTAATGGAGGGTGGCAAATGTGATCATTCATTTTCCCATGAGAAAACAGCACAACAAAAGTGACTGACAGCATGCAGGCAGCAGACTCCCAGCACAGAGCAAGTGGATTCTTCACACAAAGGAATCCTGGAGCTGCAGATTCTGGGTGTATGCTTTTATTTTACGATCACATTCAAGTTGAAAAAATAGTACAGACAACTGTAGTGGAAATTCAGTATTCAGTGGGTTGAACTGAACATCTATGGTGCAATTGTACCTGGTGTGTGTGTGTGTGTGCCCGCAAGCGTGCATATGCTTTTCTCCCTATCATTACAGCCAAAGAATGTTCAACATCAACAAACTTGGAGTTCTTCTCCTCCTTTCTGTATCATTCTTGTAGTGTGTATTTAGCCTGTAATTAACTCATCCACTGTCACTTGCTAACAGGGCCATACAAAGCTTCTCAAATGGAGCAAGTCATTTTGGGTGGTGCAGAGTAAATGCACACTGGAGCTTTGCCTTTGATTGATTGCCCTCTGCTGGATGTGACCAAAACTTGTAACTCAGTGAGTTCTGTAGTATGATTCACCATCAGTTATGAGAAGTTCTGACTAACAAATTTTGTTTGATTCTGTCAACTTTTGTGACTTTTTTATTTGCATGGTAGTAGTTCCTTCAATGTTGACTGCTGATAAAGTTTAGTCTACTGCGAAATGACTGGATCTGCCAAGTAGTGAAAGCAAAGTTCTTGTGCGCCGTTGAAGCACGAGTACTCTGGGCTAATTCATGTCCTTCACAGTGTAAAGAACGCTCATGATTGCCTCTTGCTGTTTGTAATAACACTGTCCATTGTTTAACCGTTAATTCTGTCTGACACACTGACCCGTGCAGTGTTCTGACAATCTGGTATAGTGGCAGACTTGATGTTAGGCGACTATGCCTAACAAGTGGGCGCCCCACAGTTCAGGGCAGCAGAGTTGCTTGTCTGCAGTGTTCTCTGTTTGGCCATGCACAATTTCACTTCCCTGAATGCTCTCCAGTTTTGACTGCACAATCGCATTGATATCACACCAATGTGTCCTTGTTTAGGGTGCATTGCACAGGACAGTGGCCTGCGCTGTTCATGCTGGATGTGTTCATATGGATCTTGAGGTCCTTTAATCCTGGAATACTGCAGTTTGAAGTCTTCTGCTTGCACCTTCCTGTAGATGTGTTTCAGCTGGAGTATAATTCAATGGGGATCAGCATCCTCTGATCTAACTGAAAGTTAGAAGTCCACATTATCTTTATTCTGACACCCATGATCACCCTAGCTCTCTTTAATTGATTTATCACATATTAGCTCTGATCTGCTGGATGTGGGGGAGGTGATGTACAAAGCAGTTCTTTCATTTTCACTCACTGGCAGTAAATTGGCAGTGAACCTCAGCCTTGTTTCAGTCAGTTCCACTTAACAGAAATCAGGTGTTGACTTAAATGTAAAGAGAGCAAAAAAGGTTCCATGTGCGGTGGTGGGTTTCATTATTAATATTTAACCGTTTATTTTACTGGAACTGAATATAATTGTTTTTATTCTGTCCAGATTCAGTGTTTGATATTCTTAAACAAGAAGTTTGGTATATTGATAAAAATGTATATTGTGGACAGCATTAGAGTGATTTACAGCTGAAACTGGAACAGAATTTAGTGGAATGTAAAGCTAACTGGTTTGTGGTGTCATCAGCTACAAAAGTGGTTCTTAGAATTGGTGTCATCCCACTCAGCACCTGTTTTATATGTTTGAAAAAAAGCCCCCTCAGGTTTTCACACCTTTCCTAGAGACAGTATGAACTGTTATTATGTGTTGCTGAACAGGGAGTGTTGGTGAAATATGGGTCATCTTGTGCACCTTGTCCGCGATTTGTCGATTTGTGATGTGGACCTCAGTGGTAGGTCTATCTGTAGGCTTTTCAGCCATGGTGGGGAGGGGGGAGTGTGGAGGGGGGAGTGTAGCTCAATCCAGTCCTGCCCCCTTGTCCGACATCTCCATGATTTCAGAGTAGAATTTCTTCCCTTGCTCCCCACTCTATCTCTCCCCCCCCCCCCCCCCCGCCCGAAGAGCGATTCTCTGTACTTTTTGTGGATTGTTCAAAAAACCTTTCACAAATACTTCCTGTTCCATAGCAGTTCTTGAACTATGCCACACAGACGAAAGAGAGAGCCTCCACCCAGAAGTTGCCATTTCAGTGGAACACTTGGAGGAATTTAGGGAAAATAGTACGAGTTTATAAACACACAACAGATGTTTTAGTGTTGGACAGAGAGACTAAATATCAGATCTTGGTAAGATAAATAAAATGAATCAGAATATCACAGGATATAGTTCTGAGACGTTAATATGGTTGAAAAACATCACTTTGTTATTGTTTCAATTTACAAAGTTTACACTTTAACCTTCAATTCATCCTTCCCGCACGAGTACAGTTCTAGTCCTCTGGAGGGTTGGCTACACAGCCTGGTTCACGTACTGAGCTCACAGCAGAGTTGACGTACCAGCATTCTGTCTTCGCTGGTCAGTTACAGTGGGGGGTCCCTTCCCTCAAGGGGCCTGTCTACCTCACACAGAGACACCTCTCCACCCCTGGACACAAGAGACCTGTCCCCCTCCACACACCCACACATACAGACCCCACTCTCCCCACCTTCCCCAATAGACTTGGATACTTTTACACACATAGAACCTCTCTTTCCTCCCCCAAAGATCTTGTTAAAATGAGGTGCAGGAATTTCCAGGAATAACAATATCCCCACAAAATGTGCAGTTTGTTGTGTAAACACGGGCTAAGTAACAACTCCACATCATTCAGTGGTTTAACTTGTTTAAGCTACGGTGCCATGATGTCTCTTCTCTAAGAGCAATGGTGGGGTAACTGTGCATGCTTTCTCATGTGGCATCCTCTGTATATCAGCTTCACTCTGCCAACGCACCAGAAACAGAAACAATGCTTGCCCTTTGAAGGAACTTTAACAGCATGAACCATGTTATGTGGAAATCACAAGCTCCGTATAAAGCCTGAAGCAAGCATCCCAAACGGTTTATTTCCTTGAACAGTTGGGAGGGTACCTGTTTGATTTTTCCCTTAATTCTTCCTCCCCCCCACTTCCCCCAGCTCAGATGCGGAAGGAGGTGGTAAGAATTTCGAGTTGAGGATAGAATTTCTGGAAGTAGGGAGGGGAGAAGGCTAATGGTGGAGGTTGTCACTTGGCTGGATTTGATGCCTCTCCCAACAAGCCCGATGTTAGTTACTGGAAAAAATATCTAAACCGTTTTATTGTTTGTGTATAGGGTGCAGCAGTCGCAGTGAAATTCATTGCAAAGGCAGTGCCCCCACCTAGTGGAGAGACAGAAGTTCTGCAAAAGTACTGCACTGAACTATAAGATGAAACGGCGTGCTTTAATGTATGCCACAGTTTTTCTTCTCCGTCAAAGAAAAGAGCTGTCAACTGTGTGATCAGTTCGTGATTTCACCATGGATTGAATATAGTTTGGTGGGGATCAGGAGGAGCATGTGGAATCAGTTGCTTGAAGCTACAACAGTAATAATAATCTTTGTATTTGACAAAGTGCCTTTTATCGGGTCGTTGATACATCTCAAAGTGCTTCACAGTATTTACTGTAAAGTAAATTACTATATTTTATAGGTGAAACCCGGCAGTCAATTGCGCACAGCAGTGTTCCATAAACAGTGGCGGATTGAATGATCAAATTATTATTTTTTTTAAGGGATTATTGCTCCCAGAAAGTGATCCAGCAATTGATAAACAGTCAGGTTCCTACTAACTGCTGGGTAAACAGGTATGTGGATTAAGGAAACTTGCCTAATCTTTCGTCCCGCACAGGAATCGAACCTGGGACGTCTCATTTACAAGACGAGTGGGCTAACCACTAGACTGCGGGACACCATTATTTACAACAGTATTGGGGATATTGGGGTGGCTGGTCATCGAGATGAGGGACCCACAGGACACAATGTTGACAGTAAAGGGTGAGGTCAGGTTTGAACATATGTTGAATATCCACATGGGACTCCAGGTTTATACTCAGATATTTTTCTATTTAGTTCAGAAGTAACATGCAACTTTATGGGAGTCTTGGTTGGTTCATACTGGTCTCCTGATTAAGTGCCATCATTTGGAGGCTGGAGTTCACTTGCCTGCCATGCCTTCAACTCTGCTGTCAGTAGGCTAGTTGACTCAGAGGGTATTAATACGACTCTTTGTTGGTTAATCTACAGGAATATGGAGGACTTTGTTACCTGGGTTGACTCCTCAAAGATTAAGAAACACATAATGGAGTACAATGAAGAGGTAAGAATTGCTAATGTTCTGCTTGAGTCTTTTGTGTTGCTTTTTCTGATTCACTTGCATACGGGAGGGGATAAACATCGGCACAGTCTGTCTGGGCGAACTGGCCATATAACACCACACTCTTTGTAACTTCCGCTGCAGATGGGGGGAAATCACTGACTAATATGTCGCAGGAGCTAATCGACTATATTTGCTTTCATCACAGCAAGTCATGCTCTTTTATGTTGTACTTTTTTGAATGCTGCATCCATGTAGTGATTACAGTAGGGTCAGCTCTAAAAAGAAAAGGTGTAGTCTTAAAAATTGTCAATATTAAAACGATTGGGGAGAAATTCTGGATCTAGATTTACTCTCTTATGACGCATTTTATAGCATTTCATAGCATAGAATTTTGGCAAGTAATTTTGGTCGGTTTTCTATGATAATAATAATCCTTGCATTTGATATAGCGCCATATGATGTTGTTGAGACATCTCAAGGAGCTTCACAGAAACACTGTTAAGTGGATTGACTGTTTTTATTTTTAAATCCAGCTCTGATACTTTTCAAACCTGTGTGGCTATTTTGTTTAACAGGGTGATTGGTGTAATACGAGAAATGTAAATCGTATTATCTTTTTTTCCTTCACAGAGAGATGACTTTGACCTGGTTGTATAGTTTCAACTCTTCACAGCAACTGCCACCTGCATTGACTTTCTTAAATTGTCAGTTTCCTTATTGATGCCCAACACTGAAAGCAACCTGTTGAATTACCTTGAGAATATATTGAGGCAATATGTTGCCAGCGTCTACAAGGAACTCATTGGATTTAAGTTTCTCATAACTTGCTCAGTCTATTACAGTTCAGATCTAATATTTAAGTGGGGTGTCATCTCCGTTATATAAAATGTTCTCTCAGCACAAATTAGTTGATAAGGTTCCAGTGGTGGTGATTTACCCGTTTCATGTGAAATGCCTTGTCAATGCAAACTTCAGACAGTTGAACGGATTCGTGGCAACCGGATCCCATGATTTGTGATTCAAATTGATCTGCATTCACATCACTTTTGCTCCTCTTTCCCCCTCTTCTCGCATCCCACTATTGCACCAAACAAGAAGAGAGGAAATCAGTTTAATTTGTTGCACACAGATGCAGGCAGTTCTGTTATCTGAATGAATCTGGCAGACAAATAGTTGCTCTTTAACAGAGAGCACATGTGCTATATTGGTGCAGTCCTTCCATTATTTGTACCTAAATCTGGCATTGAAACATTTACTGCTTCACTAAAGGCATGTGTAGTGTACTAATTCAACCATGGCATAATTTAGGATTGAAACAACCATTGTTTCGCAAAAGGCAGATATAATATGGACATGCCATGAAAGGACAGGTTAACTAGGAAACAGTGGGGAATGTGATCTAGTGAGGTTTTAATGTAGTTTATAGAAGCACATGAGCAAGATCTATTCTTTTCTCTCTCCTCCTCCAATCCCCAGGTCATCTAAAATTGAGCCAGTATCAGGAAGCCAGATTTACAAGGCCAAAACCCCATGGAGAACTGAGTAGGTCTTCCCTAGTCATCAACCTGTGACTATGGGTAGAATGATGAAATTCAGCTTGTGTGCTTTGCCTTCTACAGTACCATCATGCAGAAGAGCAGGTTAGTTCACCAATAGGTTAGTTTCACCAATTCAGGATCTCACATTTGTGTGTACACTGTCTCTTGAGTTTTGAAGTTGGCTTTAGCATTCAAAATTAGGGTTTTAAAATAACATAACTTCAAGTGTGTTCTTTATGAGGAGAGAAACGATCAATGAACACTGCCTCTTGGCAATGTTATTCCCAACAAATTCTTTAAATCGTGAAAGATACTGGTTGATTTTTGTAAAGGGAAATGATGAGAGCTCATTCATAAGAGAGGCCTGCAGTATTGGAGCCTCCAAGCCCTAGTTCTCCACAACTTCCTATTGTTGATCTGAAAGGCAGTGTTTGTGTTTTTCAACTTTCTTTTCTAAAAAGCAAATAAAAACATTTCTCTGTGATTTTTCTTTAATTTCTTTCAAAATAACCAGCGATACAGCAGTCCCGATCTCTTTCTAGGTTTATACAACAGATGACATGGAGCAACAATGTTTCTTTGTAATAGAACTCAGGAGCGACAGAAAAGTTTATACTCTAACTCTAATCATCAGAAATTGTCTTTTTCATTGAATACTGACATGGTAGAGATCAAGCTAGCTGATAATTCAGACAGCAGGGTCAGATGCTGACTAACTGAACTAAATTGTCTTGCTAAAATTTTGCACATTAGCAGGGAGTTTAAATGTACTGCTTACCTGCAATTCACACCTCTCTTCACTCTCAGAGTGACTTGGAAATTGCTAACCCAGATCTCCATGACCTGGATGAAACAATAAAATCTTGTTCATTTCAACTCTTCAGATAGAGTAAAACCAGTAACTGGGACTGAAAGGAATGTTCTTAAAAGAGCCAGGACAGAAAAGGTGGCCTGAATCAATGGTTGATTTACAATCTCTGTTGTAAATTTATATGGCTCTAGAATAATCAGTAAAATAGTGAATCAGATTGGATATTAGTGGAGAAGATGGTGATGTTGAGGAGGGCCAAAGTGGAGAGGAAACGGAGCCCTGAGGAAGCGTTGAATTGATGGAGCAAGACTAAAAGAATGAGCCATTTACTGAAGCACAAATGCATCTGAAGTACGTGTTCACCTGTGTTCTGAAATTTCAACCTTGACAGACACACAAAAGTGATTGGAAAGAAAAAACAACCTTTAAATTTTTATAATTTTCCTATAAATACGGTAAGTATATTTTACTGTGAATCTTGTGAATTGTTTTGAGGCATCCTGCCGACATGACAGGTGTTTGATTTATCAAATGCAAAGATTAATATTATAGTGCCTTATCAAGTGGAAACATCTCACAGCCAAGACTGCTCTTGCCTTTTCAAACAGTGCAATGGGATCTTTCACGTCCACCTGAACAGACAGATGGGATTCTATTTGAATGTGGCACCATTACCACTGGGTAATGCACCACTGCTGAATACAGCATCACTTAGCAGTGCAGTGCTGAACACAGTACCAATGGGCAAAGTAGTATTCAATACTACACTGTACTGTCAACTTAGATTAGAAGCAAAGTGAGGCACTGTCGTGTAGATTTTGAGACCAAGCATTTAGACTATTTTACAGCCAAGCATTGATATGGGCGTTTTCCATTCAGAGGGCATGTATAGACAAAAATATTTCTGCCATTTATTTAGTCGTTGCTCCCCCTCTAGGGGACGTGATTGTGCGAGATACGATAATTGGGGAGAATAGTTGCAGCTGCAAGATTAACATTGAGAAAGTGCACATGCTTGCACATTCCTTACGGCATTGTACGACATGGTTAAACAATACACTGAGGAGAATGAAGGGGGAGAAATGGGACAATTTTACAAGAGGATTACCAGTAGTACGGACAAGAGTGAGTTAAGATCAATCTAGTCACTCTGGGACTACCTTGCGTGAAGCGAGTTATATAAATGCAAGTTGTTGTTATTCATTTCTCCAACCCTTTCCAAATCCCGAATTTTGGGTTGATCGCAAATGCATTAAGGCTGCAATTAATAATTAGAGTGAGCTGGGAATATCCAAGTATCTTGCAATGTAGAATGCTGCTTTCCAAACCAAGAGCCAACTCCTAGAGCAATGTGAGACGCAAAGAAAGTTAATTCCACAGTGTCTTGCTTTTAAAAATATGTGACATTTTTACATTTAGGGGTATCAGACCATCAGACCAACTGGTGACTATCCTCCTTCTGGGGAGGGGGATGTGAATTAGGTAAGCAGGATGTGTCCCTCCAGGGAGAGAGTCCGCATTCCATTTCACAATCTGTCTCTGGAATTTCCATGTTTAGATGGGATGCATGGAATTCTCAATTTGGTTTGGATACTCTTAAGCATGGTGATGGGTTTCCACTTGTGTCAGACACTCGGCTGACAAAAAAAAGGGCTATCAGTGAGTGTAATAAACCGTGTTGAGTTGGCACTGTGATGTGAAAAGAACATCTCAACACGTGAATCTGGGGAAGCCCCAGTGGTGACATGCATAGAGCTGCAGCTTACTGACTGAGAGCTTGCTAGTTCGAATCCTGCCCGCTTTATGCTGTTCACTGGTCTCAGCCAAGGCTGCAACCAGCCTTCCCAGGATAAAGACCACATGGGGTTACTGTTCCTGGTATATCTTCAGCACCTTCTACTGAGAGTGCATCTGTTTGACAGCCCAGCGAAGAAAGGTTAAGTCCAACTGTTGGTGCTGTCATGTGTAATTGAAGACTAATGAAGATCAGAACTCTGTAATTTGGCACTGGTGATTCGTTCAGTGCCAGTCTGTAAGTAACTTTTTGCTTCAGAGGTCCACAAATCCATTCAGTGCAATTTTGATGTATCCACCGGAGGGGTTGCGTGTCACTCCAAAGTGACGGCTGAACAATCTTTCGCTGTGTACAAAATGATTAAACTTTTCATGTTTAAGGAACAGCTGGAGGGGGGGTGTTAGCAAACAAGGTGCACGTGGGGGTCAGTGAAATCATCTCAGCATTAGTGAGGAGTTTCCACTACTTGTAATCATTAGGATAGATATTTGTGAAAGATTTTTTTTGAAAAATCTTTGCTGGTGGCCTCACTGATGCCTGGCAGGAATGCTTTGTAGCTTTTAATAATAATAATAATCCTTGCATTTGATATAGCACCTTATCACATGACCAAATTACATGATCAAATCTAGTGCACTTTCCCAGCATTGCTCCAGAGTGTACGTGTAGATAATATCCCAATTGGGGCTTGCACCTACAAGCTTTTGACTCTAGCGTGAGTGCTACCAACTGAGCCAGGTTGAAAAGTAAGCCCTTTCTCTCTACATTACCCTTCACTAGTCACAGCTATGATGTACTTAACTGAGGTCAAAATAGGTTGGTTGTCAGAGATGGTGCTTCTCATATCTGGGGATTGGGAAATTGCTGGTCTCACATATCTGTGCTGCTTACACGTGTGGTAGGTGCACTTGCTATGTGATGCCAATGCTGTTCTCTACTGATTAATCAATGAGGTTTACTCAATAGGTTCTTAATTAGTGGAATCCACGCTATTTTGCACTTGGGTAATTACACTGCTGGTGGCTGCCTCTGAGTATAAGTTCTGCTTGTTCTTTGCCAAGGGATATCTATGCTGCTGCTCATGTGGGGCTGCTGTTCTTTACGGGTTGAATTGATGCTGTTGAGGTGATTCCATATAGGAGCATTGCTCCATCTCTCTCCCCATTCAACTTCCCAAAAGATTCTTTGCATCTCTCTCACCATCTAATAACCTCGAATCCTTTTAATTTCCAGGGATTTGTCTGTGTTATTTTTGAAACCCTTTATTAGTTTATTGTTCCATCATCTCTGCTAGTAATTGGTTCCATGTTGAGCACCCTTTTATTGAACAAGCATCTACTTCCATTAATTTTGTGCTTGTATTGAACTTCTGACTTAGGCTATGCTTTGTGAAGGTATTTGGCAGATAACTATGCAATTCTTCCCAGTGAGTAGTCCTGCTGGTAACTCTGCCACTCTTAATTGGTGTGATGAATAGTGAATAATGAAGAATATCTGTTATCTATCACTGTTGTATCCTAATTGGCATGTACTGCAGGAAGGAGAAGCAATTGTGGCTCTCCAGTGATTGAAAGATGCAGTGCTTGTCTACAGTTACCCAGCCACTATACTTCACAGTTAAATATTATGAAATGCTTTGCGATGTCTATGACATGGCACAATATCAAATGCAAGGATTATATAATAATAAATAATCATTAGTGTAAACAGCATTTATGGAGGATTCCTGTTGATGAATTAGCTGTTCAACAGTGTCATAATTTTGTATAAACATGGTTTCTGCTTGGCCAATGCCCTTTGTAGCCTGTCTACTTTGAAGGCTCCCAATTTCAGCTGAACTCAAGGTCGATCCTCTTCAGCCTATTCAGTATGAGCTGATTTTCGGTAGGTACACATGACAAGCTCAGACTACCTGGAACAGACAAGAGCAAAAAAGCTTTTTGTTTCACAAACCCAACTTCAGGAGGTGAAAATATCGATGACCTCTCACAAATTGAACATTTTCCAATAATAATTGTTTAATCAGTAAATTGCCGAAAAGAAAGCACTATATTAGTAGCACTGTGCGTTAAAGGATTATGTAAAAGATATCAATAAAAATTGTCACTTACCAATTTGTAAGTCAGAGAGAGCTCTTCCCTTTTGATAAAGGAACATTGGAGCGATTACATACGAGAAGTGCTAATAACCACTGAGCTGCCTGGTATCATGTGGAGCTGTTGGTCATTAGGCAGCTGCTCGCTTCACTAATGTGGGTCAGATGTTCCAGTCTTCTGCTACACCATGTACTAAAATGCCAAAGGGCTTGAATAAGGAGGGGTTTGCTACAGTGATCGCTATCAGCCATTCGGTCACTAATGGGGAAACTTGCCGGTGACTGGAATTACGTCACTTGTGTGAATTCCATGATCTACAAGGTATCCACAAAGCCCTCTTACCCTCTGTGTCATACAACAGTGATATGAGACTATGAAGGAGCTGAAATAAGCTGTCAGAGATGCATTTCGCCTTGTCACTTCATCCATGTTATGGAAGATCTGGCACCGATCATTATCTGCCATGAAAATGATGGCACTCACACCGATCCTCTGGACATCTGAATACAGTTAAACACTTGGACTGAATACAATTAATTATTTCTAAATACAGTTATCATCATCCTTCTGCATGTTCAGTTGTTGGTTTGTGCACTGTAGATAAAAGGGGATAACGGGATTTTGTGGACATACTGATAGCGAGTGTGGTTTCTGTGTTCCCGTCATGCAGGAAGGAGTCTGTTCCCTTCAGTGAATGTGAGTTATTATTCGTGAATCCCATTGTGAACTGCTGTTATTTTTTTGCCCCCAATATTGCTGAGTTCCCTTTAACTTGACTAAAATGCTTTATATTACTGTCATCCGAAATGCATTTTGTAGATTGTGCGTATTCCCTAAATGAGAATGCTACACAGACCATCTGGAGACCTGGCGTGGAGCAGGTGACTAGCTAGCCAGTGTTCCTGACACCATCACGACTCACTGTAAAACAAATACAATAGCAAAAAGCTGAGTATATGAAATTATATGATTCTGTAATTAAAGGATTAGATTCAGAGGATGAGTATGTGGGGCTGCGGGTAGGAACAGTGGGGATAGATGGGGAGAGTGAGCCAGATCTTGCTGCCGATCACTGTCAGGCGACCCTTGCTGGAGAGAGTGTTATATACTGTATTCACATTATGTGAAAACAGGATCAGATGTTGCAATGCTTATCCTTTCCCTCATTCCGCCTCCTATACACACGATCAAATAGTCGGCCAACACTCACTGCATGGTGTTGCATAAGAAAAATGCCTCGAGTGAAGTACCCGAAACTTTGTCATTGCTGGCAGAGAGAAGAGAGAAACTTGGATGGGGAGGGGAAACTAATAATAATAATAATCCTTGCATTTAATATAGCGCTTTATCAAGTCTTTGAGATGTCTCAAAGTGCTTCACAGAACATAATGTAAAGGGAATTGCCTATATTTTGTGGGTGAAATGTGTTTAAACTAGTATAAAATAAAATATATCGCTTTCGCTTTAGGTGTCAGCCTGGCTCAGTTGGTAGCACTCCCACCTCTGAGTCAGAAGGTTGTGGGTATAAGTCCGAACCTTTGAGCTCACAGTCTAGGCTGACACTCCAGTGCAGTTCTGCCCTAGTATTGCACTGTAAGAGGTGCCCCCCTTCAGATGATATGTTGAACGAAGGTCCTGTCTGCCTGTTCAGAAACTTGGAATTCTTATAGTCTAGACTGATACTGGGGGCATCGTTCGAGGTGCCACCTTTGGATGAGATGTTAAACTGATGTCCCGCCTGCCTGTTCAAGTGGACGTTAAACATCTTAAGGCACTAATAATAATAATAATAATAATCCTTGCATTTGATATAGCGCTTTTCACGTCGGGAGGACGTCCCAAAGCACTTCACAGAACACACTGTAAAGTGAATTGACTGTATATTTGTGGGCGAACGCGGCAGCCAAGTGCGCACAGCAATGTCCCACAAACAGTCGTAGATAGAAAATGACCAATTTATTATTGTTTTTGGTTTTGGAGGGATTATTATTAGGCTCTGTGTGGAGTAAGGAAACTTGCCCAAGGTTTCGCCCTGACCTGCCTGGGATTGAACTCAGGTCTCTCGCTTGCAAAGCGAGTGCTCTAACCACTGAGCTACAGGACTATTCGAAAAGAGAAGGGAGTTTCTGGTCAGCAATCCTCATAGCTTTTGAGACATTTTGATGCGATAAAGTGATGTACCAAAAGCAAGGATTTTTATTTTATTATATACATATGTACATAAACCATCTGATTGCATTAATTAGATTGCAGTCTGATAACTCACTCCTCGGAGCTTCATATAATGCACACTATAAACCTATTCAACTGCCCCCCACCCCACCACCCCACCTCCTGGATTATATTCCAGACTCCAATTCCCTCCCAGAATCTGCTATGACATTGCAAGTTATATAATTTTCATAAAATACGCGAATAAGAAGAATTCCAAAAACACATTTAGGAGCAAATCCATTTTTACTCATCCAAGAAACTGGTGGAATGTCCACCGTATCCCTCTGTGACCACATGGGGGCAGACTGTGCCTAGGTACAGGGTGAAGCCGCAAGTGTAATGGTCCTTTTAGGCATTTATCCATTCAGTTTAAGCACTGCATTAATCAATATTAATTTTACTGCATTGATTTTATGAGCAAATTGCAATCTCAGAATCTGAGTTCACTTATGCTTTTCTCTCTCTGTCTCTCATCCTCATTTTTCTCCTGTCGACATGAAAGATCTGTTATAGTTCAATGACTTTCTTACATGAATCAAACTTTGCACTTACTTGTTTCCTGAACTTTGAGAGGGAACTGTTTTAAAACAGTGAAATAAGCGGTGACTTTTGGTTTAGGTGTCACCCCGGCTCAGTTGATAGAGCTCTCACCTCTTGAGTTAGTAGGTCGTTAGTTCAAGCCACATATCAGGACTTTGAGCGCACAGTTTAGGCTGACACCCACATCACTGTGCTGAGGGTGCACTGCATTTTTGGAGATGCCGTCCTTCAAATAAGACATTAAACCAAGGTCCCGTCTGGCTGTTCAGGTGGGTATTAAAGATCCCATGGCACTTTTCAAAGAAAGAAGGAACTTTCTCCTGGTGTATTGGCCAACAGGCACTACACATTTCAGTAAATCCCATGAAGCACTTTGTGACAGCCTCCCAACGAAGATAAGATATCAAATTGAAGACCTGTCTCCTTGTTCAGGTGAAAGTTAAAGATCCTATGGTACTATTCTAAAAGAGAAGAGACATTCTCCCAACGTGAAAGACACTATATTTGTAAACTACATTGTGTCCTGCTGACATGAATAGCACTATATTAAATGCAAGGATTACGTTTATTTCCTCAATTGTAAAAGAGGAGGAAATAAATATGTTGACGTGTAGAAATATGTGACAGACATCATGTTTGTCTGAAGGAGAGATGAAAGAAAATATAATTGGGTTCACGTCACATTTAGTGTGTGAGTATACTTTTTATCACTTTTTTGGTCTAAACTAACAACAATATAAACTAACAACAATGTAAGCTCAGGAAACACTGGTATGTGGAGTCCTTAATTACTCCATGGTTTATTTGTTCAGTAGTTGGCTGAGAATCTGACCATTTTCTTTTTAATTTATAATGCATGTTCTGGAGAAGAACTCCTGGGTTCTGTTGCATGTAACTGCAACACTGTTGTGAGGACTGCAACACTACTACGTAGGAACAGGAGGAGGCCATTCAGCCCCGCAAACCTATTCCGCCATTCTTATTAGATCATAGCTGACATGATCTAATACAGTGAGAAATCTGGGCGCTGGAGAAAAATTAACATACTGTTGTATGTGGCTGCAGCATTGCAAAGAAAATGCATGGTGTGAAGAAGATTTTCATGCTCTATTCTATGCAATTGCAATACTGCTGTGATGAGAAATATAAGCTCTGAAGAATCCCTGTATTCTGCATTGCATGAGAGGACGATTCTGCAGGCAGGAATTCATGTACTGAAGAATTCTCCGTTTCTTAAGTATGCGACCACAAGACAGCTGCCGTGAGAAATGTGTGCTCCGAAGAAAACTTCCCACACTCTGTGCGTGTGGCTGCAAGACTGCTGCAATGCAAGTCCGGCTCTGACTCTGATTGGGACTTCCTCCTTACGTGTAAATGTAATTTGTTGTTGAGTCAACATATGAGGCCTTGAAAAATTTTGCCCTAAGGAAATTTAAAAAAAATTCAGGCCCAGTCAATGAGCCAACAAACCCTTATTCAGAGGCCACCCTTATGTGAAGGCCACTTTGGTTCAGTCCCCTGAGTGGTTGCTCAAAACAGGTTTGACTGTAACTGGTGTGAAACCTTGCCACTTTTTTAAAATACTATTTTGAAGCATGCCAATAAGATTCAATTTGACATGACAAAATGTAGCCGAATTCTTGCAAAGTCTTGTTTTTTTCCCTTTCGCCCCCAGACGCTGTTTGACACAATGCATCATTCCTGTCTGTAGCTGTCAGGCAGAGATGTCAAATATTATTCAAAAAGGAGAAAAATTCATAAAAACTTTCAAGTACAGCTCAGTTCTTCAAAAAGGAAAGGTAAGCAGGTTCAACTGTATAACCACTTCAATTGAGGGACACTTCTGGCATATTTACCTACAAAATAAAGTCACACCGCTTTACACTATCAAGGAGTCCTTGCCCCACAAGAGAGAGAACCTGGTTTTGATTACTCATCTCACAAGCAAGGTTAGAACACTCGCCTCGCAAGCAAGAGGACCTTGGTTCGATGCCCAGGCAGGGAGAAATCTTTGTCAAGTTTCCTTACTCGTTTACCTAGCAGTAAGTAGGAACTCAGTTGTTAGTTGATTGGCGGATCACTTTCTGCGAGTAATAATCCCTCAAAAAAAATTGGTCTCACAATCCAATAATACTGCTGTGCACAATTGACTGCCACATTTCGTCCACAAGGTACACATTCAATGCAAATTAAGATATATTCTATTCTGAAGAGCTTTGAAACGTTTCAATAACGTGATAAGGCCCTATGTTAAGTGCAAGGATGTGGGCTACAACAATGCAGTGCTCCCCAGTACTGAGTTGGTGTGATTGTTGATGAGGATCCTAAAGTCCCGATGTGGGGTTTGCTTTCTGACTCAGAGCTGAGAGAATTGCCACGTGAACCAATTAATTGTTCAAAAGACCTTCAAGCTAGTGGAAGAATATGAATGGCCACAAACCACTGACTGATGTTATGTCCTGAAGTTGGGCTGGATCTGTGACCTAATGCTCCAATCGAGATATGTATCTATGGATCCCAAACCATTTTCAATATGAGAGTTAAAGTTGTTGAGTGTTGCTCTCAGTACCAGCGGGCATTTGGCTGCAACTGACCTGGTCCTCCACTCTACTGGTAAGTGAAGCCTACTGTACTAAAAGGTATGTTGATTTGTTTTACTTCCATTGTCTCCCCTTGCTTGCTGCCCTCCTGAAGACATTTGACTCCCTTTTTTTCCTTCTGTTGGGGTATCATTCCATACACTCCATTTGCCCCTGGTACCTCAACCAGTGGCCATTCTCCATGTGTGGGCCTTGACAGTGGATATTGTCAGTCTGTTTGACTGTGAGAACATCATTCTGTTCTCAATGTTGGGGGAATCCGCTTAGTGATCAAGAGCAGGATTTTCCCCTCTCTCATTGAAAAGCACCGAGGCCAATGTTGGCCCCCCTTCTGCTCTCCTGGTTGAGATCTAGATCTATTTTGTGGATTGACAAAATACACAGTCAATCCACTTTACAATATGGAAACACCTGGGAACACCTGTTTTTATTCCACTGTACAATTTATTCTGTGAAGCACTTTGAGACGTCTCAACGACATGATCAAATGCAAGGATGATCATTATTATTAATTATTAACTTCCTGACATGAATTGGGGCAGCATTTGCGGCCACAGTTGGTCTCAGTGTGCTTGAGTCACTGAGGAATATAATCAACATAAACACCCACTCATGATGACAATTCTGTGACCCCCTGATGGCAAGTTCACGTGTGCAGGCTGGATGAGAACAGGATTAAGCAGTTGTTGCTTTCACCCGGCCCCCATCACCTTCACAATTCAATAGACTGTTAATGCTCTCAGCGTCTGGATATCACACGTGCAGGTTTGACACGTGGTTGAGATGCTGGAGAGACGCCAGCGCCTGGGAAACTTACTCCGGTACGAGTCACCACACTGAGTAGAAAAGGAGAGTGAAGAGCAACGTAAAGAAACATTCCACTTGTCAAAAGAGACCCTGTGTCACTCAGAGCTCGTCGCTGTGGCTATATAATAATAATAATATTTGCATTTAATATAGCACCTTATCACATTGTTGAGACATCTCAAAGCGCTTCACAGAATTCGCTACAGGACTACATTTTAGTGTACGTCCTGGTTTGTGGTTAATTTCAGTTTATGTGGGCAGGTATGTGACCATCCATATACATTAATTTTAGCTTCAAATGGTCCATGCAGGTATTGTTTATTTTTCTGCAACATCATTTATGCTTCTTTTGCCATGGAGCGAATAATGCGATGTTCCTGGTGGTTGGGATGTAATAATGAACACGCAGAATCTGTTATGCAGTATCACAGTTTTCACCTCTGTCTGTCTGTTGGGCAGTGACTATTAGCCCCAATGTTTATTGAGTATACAGTAAATATCCAGTGTGTCAGTCTCATTCAGTCAGTAGCACTCTTGCCTCTGAGTCAAAAAATTGTGGGTTCAGGTTGTGACTTGGAATCCATATAGTCTAGGTTGACACTCCAATGCTGTGTGGGGGCAAGGGTGCGTTGCATTGTTTGAGGTGCTGTTGTTTGGATGAGATGTTAAACTGAGGTCCCATCTGCCTGCGTTCTGGACAGCAATCTTCCAAATAAAATGAGTCATTCAGTTCATGGCTGTTTGTGGGACATTACTGTGTGCATTGTTGCTGTGTTTGTCTACAAAATACACAGTGACTGCACTCTACAGTAAATCCTGTGAAGTGCTTTGAGACGTCCTCCCGACATGAATGGTGCTATATCACATAGAATCATAGAATCTTACATCAAGAAAGAGGCCATTCGGCTCACCGTGCCTGTGCCAGCTCATTGTAAGAGATACAACAACAACAAGATTCCATTTATTGAGCGCCTTTCACGTCGGGAGGACGTCCCAAGGCGCTGTACAGTTGGGTCAGGACCCGAGCAAGATAATCAATTAGTCCCACTCCCCTGCTCTTATCCATTGCCCTGCAATTTTTTTCCTTTTCGAGTACCTATCCAATTCCTTTTTGACGATTACTATCGAATCTGCTTCGAAAAAGGATTATTATTATCCAGCAGGTTGAATCTGAAAGATTTTTTTCATTAACGTGGCCCAAATAGTATCCTAATTGTCCAGTTGCCTTCCCCACATGGTGCACGGACATTCACACTACACACCCAAACAAATTGAACACTAAATAAAACAACCTCATAAAATTATGCCAGAGATTGCAAGGCAGGAGCTTAATCTTTGGGTTCAGAGCTGACTGATATAAACAGCTCAAGTTAGCTTATACTGTTCATGATGTTCTCTAAACCGCTTGATGCATGTTGATACATGCAGCCTCTAACTCCCTTCAGGGCGTCCATTATTCTATATATAAACTACTACAATAGAGGTTCTGATGAAGAAAGCCCTTTCACCTCCATTTGATCTTATGCTGCCAGATACCAACCCACAATATCACAATTTCTGTCATCAACACTGTGCGTGGGCGAGAGATTTAATTCAGGAGAAACTGCACCGATTGTTATAAAATAATCACGAAGGTTGAATTACCTTCAACAACAGCAGAATTGAGAGATTCTGTATAGTTGCTGACAGCTGATTAATGTGTTGCGTCGGAGTGGCACAGAGACGCCCAGACCAGGAATTTCCCAACGCCTCCCTCTCCTCCCCCAATCTGTCATGCAGTTAGCTTCTCTCAGCCAGGATGAGGGTAAGGCTACCATGATGCTTGGAGTCCAGTAGCGTATTGGTTAGAGCACTCGCCTCGCAAGCTAGAAGCGAAATCTTAGGCAAGTGTTCTGACTCCGTATGCCTGTGTTTACCTAGCAGTAATTAGGAACCTGGTTGTTAGTAGATTGGCGGATTGCTTTCCGATAATAATAATCCCTCCCCCCCAAAAAAAAATTTGGTCACTCAATCCATGACTGTTTGTGGGATACTGCTGTGTGCAAAATATACAGTCCATAAATTACACAGTTAATTCACTTTGTTCTGTGACGTGCTTTGAGACATCTTAACAAAGGGATATATCAAATGCGAGTATTATTACTATAATTATTATTATTGGCCTTCACAGATCTGGGTCAGGGGGAGCAAATACCAACCAGCCAGGACTTGGGGAGATGTCACTGTGGAGGGCAGGATTGGGTACGGATGTCATGTCCTGCCTGGCAATGCTAGAATCAAGAATGGCCTTTCGATGAGATGATCAGGGTTACCTGCCTGTAACTACTCTATTTCCATCCTGAGGGTGTGGGGAGGTAAATGGGTCTCCTTGCTGAGTTGGCTCTAAGGTAACATGTTTGGCAATGGAACGTTAGAATTGAGTCCACCCTCTGAGTGGTCTCGGTAGCCTGCAATATCCCAGGGCTCTGCTGATGACAGACCTGCCAGCCTGGCTCGACCTGGAGGGGCAGATCAGTCATTGAGGACTCTTCCCACTCAACTCCTATTAAGCCTGCAAGCCAAAGCCCTAATGGTAGAATGGTTCTAATTGGATGTGAAATGGCTCGCAGTGGCAAGCTTGCAGTTTTTGCTGGTTAAATTCCAATATTAACTCCAATATTTGTTGGGGTCCTCAAGCCTTGGCCATTGCCAACCTGCACCTAATACTCCCTGGAATTAGGTAAACAGGGTACATCCCTTTGGGGGAGATGGTGTGTATTCCATTCCAGACACAGGGATTTCTATGTGTATGAAACTCTCAGTCTCGTTTGGATACTGTGAAGCGCTGTGATGTACCAGACACCCGGCTGACCAAAAAAACAAAGTGTCCATTGGTTTGTATATAAGCCATACAAAACCCTCTGGTCCTGAACACGTTTGCCATCAGTCACAAGGATCAATAGTATTTTATTCACTCACAAAATACACAGTCAATTCACTTTACAATATATTCTGTCAAGCGCTTTGAGACGTCTTGACAACATGATAAGGCATTATAACTGTAGTTAGTTGCTAGGATTATTATTATTCTGCAAAGAACCAATCAGTATTTCTTTATTAAAATGTTTCCAAACTGGAAATCCAAATGCCATGATATTGGGAGCCCAGTAAAATAGTATTCCACAGAAAATGCTGTTTATCTTAAAGGGTGTTAATAATTTAAATTAAGAAAAACAGGAATGTATTTAAACGCCAGGTTTAACTTGGGTTTAAAGTGAAGGAATGACCCCTGTGCTGTCACTGAATGCTGGTCCCGTGGTTATGTTTAGTTACACAGAGAGAGCTTTCTCTTTAACCTCGTCACGCCATCATCCAACGCGAGGTTAATGTGAGGGGAATACAGTGGAGATTTAACATTGCATATTAATTTATATAAATACCGTATTATTTTGTGAAAAACAGTAATGCAATAGGGAAATGACTCCTGGCCACATACAGGAGGTTTGCTTTCAAGGCGTGTGTGTGTGTGTGTTAATTGCAGTTCTGGTTTGCTGGTGTGAAATGTGTGCGAGAGAGAGAGAGAGAGAGTGTATGTGTGCTCCAGTTATAGCCTTCACACAGTCGACGGTGCCAGGCAGACAGACTAAGGAGTGTCACAGGCAGCCTGGGGAAGGAAATTGGGGTGGGGAGAGAGAGAGAGAGCAATAGAATAAAGTGTAAAAGTAAAACGTGTGTAAACAAAAATGCAAGTACTGTACAATATTGTTTCAGAGTCGACGTTTCCGAGCAGAAATTGGGTTGAGCTCTGGAGTGCTGAATGCTCAGTGTCTGTCTGTCTGCCTCGGGCTGTGGGGAGGGGGGGGTGAGGAGCTGAAATGTTTGGTAACTGTAGTCAGTTGGGTTTGTTTTAGGATATACAGTAGTAACATAACATGTGTTCCCCACTAAGCTCGACCCTGATGAGCCGGTTGGGATGGGATGCGGTGGGTCGCTGGTTTGGCTGTTGGGCAGACAGACGGACAGACAGACAGACAGACAGACTGGGGCTGAAGGTTGCAAAGTCAGAGCCATATAATATAAATCTAACGCCATAAAAACCTTGATCAATTGTCCCATTGGTATATTCCCGGTCTCCTGTCTGCCCGATTGATGCGTTAGGGAAGCATGGATTCTATCCAGTCATTCGATGGCATTGCAACCCAACTTACCTGCAAAATACACAGTCAC